AGAGAAGGGTGTGGTGGTAGTGAAGGCCTAGGATTATTTGGGCTTCTATTTAAGGAAGCAGAAAAGAGCTCTCACACCATCCTGGAGGAGGGCAGAGGTGTAGAAGAATTGGATGTCCTTAATGAAGTGACAGCATTTAAGGATATGAAACTGGAAATTGTTGAAATGACATACAGTGACAGATGAATAACATACATGGGTGGGAAGAAACCGAGTCATTTAATACTCTAGGATGAAGTCCCATCAGAATATGGTGCAATATAAACTAGTTATTCTTGAAACTATTTGCTGCAGCTCGTGCAAGAAAAGTTCTAATACATCTTTGTGCGCTTCACTGGTTATTTTATACTAATTACTCCTGTACTCATTTTCAAGTCTTTTGGTATTTAATATCATTTTTATCCAGCTTTATTCCCTTCATATTCTAGCTACTGTTTTAAATCTTTGCAATTAAGCCCTGTTTCCTTCACGCTGTCAATTTTATTTTGATTGTGGTCGATTACAACATTCCATCCACCTCAGATATATACCTCTCACCATTTGTAGAAACACTTCCCACTTTGTGAACCATTGATACAAACTATTCTCTAAAACTTGACTTTTTTAAAAATGACAAGATTTGTACTATATACCCCTTCAATACAACAGCACAAAATTGGTGATTTAATTCATAAGGACTTATTTTTACTTTATGAGCCAGAGAGCAATGGAGGCAGGGTCACTTAATATATTCAAAGTTAGAACAAGGGAATCAGGTGTTGAGCAAGAGACACGAATGTGAAGTTAAAGCCAAAATCAGATCAACCAAGATCTTAAATAGATTAGCAGTTCAAAGGGCCAAATGGACTTCTCCAGTTTCTAGTTCTTGTATTAAGTACACTCAGTTTCTCTCTTACTTTTTACATATGGTTACACTTAAACATGTAATTATTCAAGTGCTGATATTACAGTGTTAAGTCTATAAGAACACTACATCATATTTTTATCTTTCTAAAAGTAAATAGCTGTAATTGACCAGGGCATTCAATTTAATCAAGCAAAATAATCATACCCAACTGTGTCAGCAATCCAATAATCTTTAGAGTCAGTGTCACTTTTACATTAGGATCACCAACAAGTTCCACAAGGCTATTCAGACATTCACTTGGTAAACTTTGATTTGTTGCAAATATCATGACAGCTTTAGTTCCACAGATTACCTAGAAAGATAAAAGAATATTTCATCATTGAACTCCTAAGATATCTATGAATTAGGAATAAATATTGTCAAGTACCATATATTCAACATGCACCACAACACTTCTAATTTGTTTATCCAGAAGCTTGTAAATAAGCTGCCATTTTCAGAATCTCAGCTTGTTACGGTGAAGGAGGCCATTTGGCCTATCATATCTACACCAGCTCTCTGAATAAACATTTGAGTTAGGGTTATTCTCCTACCTCTTCCCTGTGAACTAACCTGTGACCTTGTGAATTAACTATACAGAATCATCCAACCCCCACTTGAATACCTGAATTGAACTACCCGGCCAGTAGAAATCAGAACCTAACTACTAGCTGTGAGGATAGAGTTTCTGTTACATTGTATTTGTTTCACCAAATGACCTTAAAACTGGACCCTCTCTTGATTCTCCATCTCTACTCTACCCAGACCATTCGTGATTTTGCAAATTATTAAACATCTATTTAACAACTTAACCTTCTCTTCTACAAGGAAAACAGCCCTAACTTTTCCAATAAAATGTGGAACTGGAGAAGCACAGCAGGTCAGATACCATCTTAGGTACAAGTACCAAGGTAGAGAATCTTAACAAGATTAAAAGAAAGAACAAAGTTAAAAGTGAAACATTGCAGTAATTATAGTATAACATAAAGCATATGGAATAAGGTTGAAAGTTAAACTTAAGAAGGTCTGCAATGTGTAAGTAGAAAATAAAGAAATAAAGCTGAAAGTTCAAATATTACAGCCTTTCTTAAGTACTCAGCCACAGTGGGACCACATTTTGAGGAATCACCTCGAGACTGAAGGCCACACTAGGCTGAAAGACCGTCATGTACCACCAAAAGGCCACCATGCTGGGCTGAGTGACTGCCACGCTGGGCTGGGAGGCCACCCTGCCAGGCCAGTATCCCCATAACTGAAGTTTCTCATCCCTGCAACCATTTCATGTAAACACCTTCTGCACTCTCAAAAGTATTCACATCCTTCAAGTGAACTGTACACAAAATTCCAGTTGAGGTCTAACTATTGTCTGTACAGAATTTTTATAACTCCCTTTTCAGTATACTCTATTCCCTATTGATAAACTTTTAAGATACTGGATTGTTTACTAACCACACTCTCCGCTTATCCTGCCACCTTTTAAGGACTTTTGCACATGTAAATCCAGATGTCTTTGCTTCTGGAAACCCTTTAGCGTAGTACCCTTTACATTCTATTGCCCCTTCAGCTTTTTATTTAAAAAAGCTGAAATCTCCCATTGTTCCACCTTTCACTGGGGAATAAATACAAACTACAGTATGTTAAATTGCAATTAAAAGTTATTAGTCATCCTTAAAATTGGAATGTTAGTGATCATTTGATGAATACAGTATATACACAGAATGCATCAATAACTTCAAGACGATTATTATGCACTTCCATGACAATGTTAGAGTTGAAAGATATTATTTTATCAAAAGGGATCCTGATCTATGTAGGAGACGATGAGTACCACTAACAGAATGACAAAATCAAATCTGTTATACCAAATGCTACTCTGGTTTTTCAATGGTGTTTGACTCCATTATCCTTTGACAACCGTAAATCAGTGGTCCCAATTCTATATAAATTTTTAATCCATATATCAATTTTTTACCCAACGGAGGTGAGGGAGAGATGTAGGGGAAGAGGAGGAATGTGAAGGAGATTGGTTGAAGAGGTGGAGAATGGGTGGGGTGGGGCAAAGGAGGAGAGGGAAGAGTGACAAGGGGGCAAGGGCAGCAATGACGGCAAATTAACCAAAGTAGTCAAAAGAACCAATCTTTCAGCTTCAAATGCATTCTCCAGGCACTTAATTGCTTGTGTGATGTTACAATCAATCTTTAATGATGTTCTGAGAGAAAGTTTAGGTTAAGTGGTTATAGCTATGCAGATTGAAGGTTTAAAATGCTGCGCATAAAAGGGAGTCAACAGACATACCGTACCTGGAGTTCAAGAAGGCATTTGATAAGGAGCACGTTACAACAATGGATCAGAACCCCAAAATACGATAGGCATTTTTAGCCCTTAATCCAAAACATGTTCTTTTTAAAGAGGATTACTACAGAGACAGTGACGACTGGTATAAATTCAGTGGTGGGGTGGCAAAAAGTTTGAGAGAGACTGATGTAACAATACCTACAAGCGTCAAAGAAACTTCAAACAAAGGGTGACTTGTGATGATAAGGTGGTTTACTATTACCCCTCTTGCAACACAGAGTTACCTTTTATAGACCTTTTCACAATTTCCCCGTCTAGGTTTATACAAAATGAGATTAACAGCCAGCTTCTATACTATAATTATAATAGGCTGCAGTGCACTAGAGTATGGACAGTTTTACACTATGGAAGTCACAGCTTGAGAACAGCTACTAAGCATTTCTGCACTACAGGCAAAGACAGGAAGACACCATCTCATGTTAAGTACAGCAAACCAATCAAAACAAAAGAATCAGGACATGGGAATTTCAATCAGCCTGCAACTGCCAGTTCCAACTACAACCTAATAACGACCATGACGTCACCTTATCTGCTCTTCACAAACAATTTACAAACAAATCCATATAACCATCTTCTTCCACTTAGGGGACTGTACTGGGGCTTCAACTTTTTCCAGTTTACATTAATGACTCAGATGAGGGAGCGAAGGCATGGCACAGTAGTTAAATTCACAGATGGCACAAAGATGGGTAGGAGAGTACATTGTGAAGATGACATAAGAAGTTTGTAAACAGATAGAAATAGGTTGAATGGGCAGAAATCTAGCAGATGGAGTCTAATGTGATGCTGTTCACTTTGGCAGGAAGATTGAAAAAGTAGAATAGTTTTAAATGGAGAACAACAGCAGAATTCCAAGATGTAGGGGGGATATAAATGTTCTCAAAAAGTTAGCATACAGGTATAGAAAATAATTAAGAAGGATAATGGGATAGTATCCTTTATTATGAGGAATTACAGAATTATATTATGCTTCAGTTACACAGATCAGTAATGAGATCACAACTCAAATACAATGTGCAGTCTCCTTAAGACATATTCTAAATGCATTGAAGATAGTCAAAAAAAAAACTTAACATGGTGGTACTGAGAACAAGTAGGATGCCTTATAAGGATAAGCTGGACAGGCTGGATTCATTTCCATTGACGTTTAGAATAGTAAGGGGTCAAGATTAAGTGTTTAAGTCCCTGAATGATCTTATATGAACTTACAGAGACAGAGTTAGAGTCATACAGCACGGAAACAGATCCTTCATTCCAATTAGTCCACGCCGACTGTATTCCCAAATTAAACTAGGCCCACCTGCCGGCATTTGGCCCTTACCCTTTCAAGCCTTTCCTATTCATGTACTTATCCAAATGTTTTTTAAACACTAACTGTATCTACACCCTCCACTTCCTCTGAAGTTCATTCCAGACACTAACACTCTGTGTAAAAAAGTTGCTCAAGTCCTTTTTATTATCCTTCTCCTCTCACCTTAAAAATATGCCCCCTGGTTTTGAACTCCACAACCTTAGGGAAAAGGCCTTTGCTATTCACCTTATCTATGCCCATCAGGATTTTATAAATTTCAATAAAATCACCCCTCAACATCCTACGTTCCAGTGAAAGAAATCCCAGCCTATCCAGACTATTTCCATAACTCAAATCCTCCATTCCAGGCAATATCCTGGTAAATCTTTTCTGAACCCTCTCCAGTTTAATATTATCCTTCCTATAACTGGGTGACCAGAAGTGCATACAATACTCTAGAAGAAATCTCACCAACATCCTGTACAACCTCGACATGACGTCCCAACTCCTATACTCAAAGGTCTGAGCAAAAGATGAAAGTGAAAAGTGTGGGAAGTAGGGGACGCTGTTTTAAAATTAGGGGTTGTCTTTTAGGACTGTGGAGAAATTTTCTGTTTCAGGGACATTGGAACTCTACCTCAGAAGGCACTGGAGGCGTAGTCATTGAACATTTTGAGGCAGAGGTAGACAGATTTTCATTAAACAAGGGAATCAAAAGTTAACAGGGGCAGATGGGAATGTGGAATTCAACAAACAGTTCAGCTATGCTTTTACTGAAAGGTGGAGCAGGGTTGAGGGACTGAATAGTCTATTGCTGCTCTTGCTTTGTATATTTGAAGGTGATCTCACACACACTTGTAATACACACACATCACATGTCGGTACAGAACATCAGTTAAATTTTTCTTCCATACAAAATGCTGTACTTACATCTAATTGTCTTTGTAGTTGCAAAACATTATTTTCAGTTTTTGCATTTTTATACTGGGTGATAGCCAGTAACAAAGATTTCATGGAAGAAGTTGGATCCATTTCTAGATAATAAAAAAAGGGAATTTAACAGACATATTTCACAATTTCAGCAGCATTACTATCAAAACATCTCTAATCGCAATATTTATTTTCAGCACTAGGTAATTGTACATTATAAGACATCTAAAAACGCATTAAGGCACAGGAGTCCATTCAGCAAGTTGAGTCCTTCTGGTTCTCTTTAGAGAAATTCAATGAGTTCCTTTCCCTCACTCTAATGCCATCAGCCTGTAACTTTATTACCTTCAGACACCCATCCAAATGCCTTTTAAAATCATTCATCCCAACTTCCAAAATCTTCTTGGTCGTTACCATTTAGTGCAAGAAAAGGTTTTTCTTCTTCCAAATCCCCTGCATCTCTGCCCAAAACCTTAAACCCACCTCCCCTGGTTCTAATGCCATCAGGTAATGGAAATAGCTTTTATTCACCACATCTAAACTGGTCATCATCTTACACACCTAACAAGTTAACTCTTAAACTCCTCCGTTCCAAGGAAAGCAAACCCTGCTTTTTCAACCTAATATTGAAGTAATTTTCTTTTATTCATGAATGTATTTTAGGATATTTCTATGCACACTTCCAAAAGAGTGGTAACCAGAACTGGATGTTAATCTTTACTTGTGGCTTGGCCAGAGCTTTATAAAGGTTCAGCCCTGCTTCTGCACTAATATCTCCATTTGTGAAGCCTAAGATTGAGTGTTTTACCAGTTCTGGAGACAATCAAATAGTTAACTTTAAAATTGTTCTGGTATGAATATTGAAGAAAAATAAGACATTAAAATCATGATATCATTTAAAATGATAGACATGAGCCAGATAAAATTGTGCATGTTGAAACAATACTGTATTATCTTTGATATCATTCAATTACATTAATTTCCAAAGATGAACATGAAAGTGGCATTCAAAAATCTACTTGAAAGCAATCAAGATAATATACAGTACAGCTGAAATAATCCATTAGGAAAACAATATGATCACAGTCCAGTCAATAATTCTGAGAAAATATAGGGATCCATCAAAGTGGCGCAGCAAAATACAAGACTAGCAAAACAGCAAGAGTTGATGTTACTGCTGCCCTAGTGCACAATGACCGTTAGGATTGCTGAGAAATGAAAATGAATACTTTATTTAAATTAACAAAAAACTGCAGATGCTGGAAATTAAACAAAAATAGAAATTGCTGGAGAAACTCTGCAAGGCTGGCAGCACCTGTGACATAACCCTTCTTCAGAACTTTACCCACTTATTGTTTGTGTCTATTTTCTTTTTGAAGTACAATGTATGCAGCCAATCTTTGACAACATTTCGATGTAGATTACAATACTTGATTATGATGGAATGCAACTTAAGTTTAGCCGATGTCGCAACTTTGCAGGGACTCTGAATGGCACAAACAATCACTTTAAATGCCGCATTACCCAAAGTGTGATATAGTCATCGTAAGCTGGCTATTCAAAAAATAATGTTGATGTTTCTTCCTAGAGGTTGTAGAAGAATTAAACAGCCCTCTTGCCTGTCTATTTTACTGAGTTTGTATTTTGGTCTCCTTTGTCACATTATGTATCACGTTATTAAAGCACTGAAGTTGTCTTATTTACCCTCTCGGCATGCCCCTGTCTGTAAAATTATGCACACGAACTCGTACGAACCTCTATCCCCTGCACACACAGTCTTTAAAGTTGTCCTCTTAAGTCTATATTGTTTATCCCTATCCCTTATGGCAATGCATCATTTCAAGTTTCTCTGTATTAAGTTCACTCTAACAGCTTATTCACGTTGTTCTGTTAGAATCGACTATGACCATCCTCAGTGCCTGTCACGACCCAAGTTTGGTCTGGTCGGTAAATTTTAAAAGATTACTCCGTATTCCAATATCCAAGTCATCTACCGAAAATGCGCCGTCCCGCGAGCAGCCCCCAGTAACGGTCACACCGCGCGCTCCCAGTTTAAAATCACCGGCACCTTCCATTGTGGAACAGGGGGTGGGAGTCGGGGGAAGGCAGTGAACCGTCAAAATGCCAGTACACTGCCGCAAGTATTTATACACTACTTGTAATTAATATCTAGTAAATTCACTTGTTGTCACGAACAAAAAAGTTCGTAAACACGGCGTGTTTCCAGACTCAGCGAAGCCACCCCTCCTCGAGCTTTACAGTTTACAACATCCCAACGGTTTGACATTTTTTCCGCAGCGGTCCGACAAGCTGTATAACCGCAACCGCACGCATCGCTATGATCACTGTTCCACTTTTAAATGGGTAGGTGAATCTCTGACCTTTGAAAATGCTTTTGCTTTAACACCGAGACACTGCAACAAGAAATTTGCACGGAGACGAATCGATGCTTTCGCTTACGTTACCAATGTCACCATGTTGCTACCGACTTGCTCTGAACGCATGCGCAGTAGCTCTCCTCCTTGGTTGGTGGCAGGGCTCTGACGTCACAACATGGCGATTCTGCCAGAAATATTTCTAGGCCCGAAACGTCAGCCTTTCTGCTCCTCTGATGTTGCTTGGCTTGCTGTGTTCATCCAGCTCTACACCTTGTTGTCTTGTATTGGGGGAATTCCCTGGTAGCTTAACAACATGTGTATAGCGCCGTTAAAGTAATGAAACATTCGCAGAACCAGTGAGACAAAGCGAATCCGTAAGGGGATATTGGGTCATCTTGGTCAACACTTAGTCAAAGAAAGATGTTTTCGCTTAAGGTTTGGGAATGGAATTCAGAGTTTAGAACCCAAAACCGCAACAACCGATGGTTTAGTAAATAAAATTGAGGATACTAAAGAGGCGAGAGTCATTTGAGCACAAATATTTCGAGCTGGTATGAAGCTACAGATCGATGAGGCTATGGTGAGAATGGAATTTTGAAATCAAGATTAATCCACCATACGCCAGTGCAAGTCAGCAAGTACGGAGATGAAGGGGAAATGGGACTTGCTACGAGTTAAAGCAGGGACAATAGCTTTTTGGATGACCTTAAATACACGGATGGTCGAACGTGCGAGGCAAACCAGGAATGTGTTATAATCGCTAAGGTTGGCGAAAACAAAGACATAAATGAGGGTTTTTGCAGCAGATGAGTCAGATGTTACAGAGGTGGATTGTGTAGCCTTAATGATGTCATGCATCTGAGGTCAAAAATTCATTTTTGACATCAATGTGACGGCAAAGTTGAGAACCGCATAGCTTAATCACAGACTGCTTTCAGGGTGATGAGAGAATAGGTCGCTTGGGAATGGAGTTTGGACCAAGATATGAAAACCGAAGGGTGGAGACAGGAAACAGTCAGGTAGAACCTGGAAAGAGAACAGACAAGATTGCTATGTTTCGAATGAGCATCTCTTAATTTCTCAGGTAGAGCTGAAGTGATTCTGTACTCAAATCTCTGGGAAGAATCAAATAAGGAACCATATCTCTCTTAAGATCACAAAACAATTAACACACAAGGACTGCTGTTGTTCCATATTTTTCAACTGAAGAGATTTTCTATATCCTCTCAAACCCTTCCACTGACTCTGTGGGAGATGCTTTTCCAGATAAAGGGAGACAGTTTTGACTCCGTGCAAAGAGCTAGGTCATGTAAAATTGGTGCCAGGTTTGTATTCTAACATCACGCACCCTTTTCATGTTTCACCTGGTGAGTTTGAGAGTGAGTGGGAAATTTGCTGTTGAGCAATGAGATATTCCAAAAATATTTTTTAAAAATTGTTTCGACCCTCAATTCTGGATTCTTCAGCAACTAACCTGGTTCCTGACCTAACAAGAGTTTTCCAAGATCATTAGTGCAAATAAACAGCAGGAGGAGCTTCATTAGTGAAGTTCACAAGCCCAGGAAGGGTTTAAACATTTACGCTGAGGAGCTCCAACTACTGCCAGCTGAGAGGCTGCTGTTCAAAATATTTCTTACCTCAGAGACTCCTATTACTGGCTTGGCTGATAATTTTCAGTTTCTTGGAAGGCACTTCATCTACCGAATGCATAATTCATCTTTAGCAGCACTTCTCTGCTGCCAGCCTTCACCACAGCACATGAGCATCTTATGCAGCTGCATCTGGCACTCTCAAAAGGCCAACAGCAGAAGCCCACCATCAACTACTCCAACAGTACCAGCTCCCTTCTCCTCAGCCACTTGCCTCTGCAAAACGCAGAGGTATGGATGTTGGGACCTAACTGGTAAGAGGCGAGACCTCCAACGTAGGGCCACTATGAGTGAAAGATCAGTTCCGTTAACCCAAGTAAGCACCATGCCTTGGGAAGTTCAGGCTGTCACATTAATTGTGATGACATCTACAGTCTCCTTCCTCAGTAGTTTTGCATACATTGCCAGCAACAGATAACGTGCTTCTCACTGGACAGCCCAACCTATTCTGATTTCTATCTCTTGCCAAGTCTGCAAGGAGAGGTATGAGTATTCGTGATGATTTGTGTGGAAAGGAGAGGATGACACTATTTGTCAAGGGTGATTGTGAGGCATGATTGAAAGAGGACAAAAGATTGACAGTAACTGTGAATGTTGTTTCCCTAAATGGGCACATGGAGAGACAGGAATGAAGTCAGTTCCAAGGTCTGTTATCCTACCGAGTGCCATACAAATGGATGTTTTGAAAGACAATAGTATAGGTTTTGGCATTGGAAAGTGTTATACAACTGAAGGAAAACAATGGTATAGTGGAATTGTCAGATGAGCAAATCAGAGTCCAAGGCTAATGTTCTGGGGACATGGGATTGAATCGCTTGGAAAATGTTGAAATTTGAATTCAATAAAAATCCAGAATTAAAAATTAGTCTTATGGAAACTATGATGGAATCTTATAAGGGTCTGAACGATGTGATTTGTGGCAAAACAGCATGAGAAACCCAGGAAGGCTTATCTTGGAATCAGGAGCATTTTGCTCCATCTTTTATGCTTTTGACAAGCGACATGATGGGTTTCTTGATTTTTTAATTTAGTCTATTTTTCCCCAATCATCCTGTTCAGAGATGCTATTACATACGTCTGGAACAGGTGGGCCACATCTCTTGCACTTACACTGCACCACAGAATCCCCCATGCTGAGTTTCTTACTAGGTAGTGGCAAGTTGCTAATTAAAGGAAATTATTGCTTGTTAAGCACCTTGCTAATGACAGAACTTGCCTCATTAATATTCAGTTTCCAATCTTACCAAACATGCCTAGCAACCTAGACATCAAGAAGCTGGACATTCTGAAGGAGGGTCACCAGACTTAAAACATTAACTCCACTTTCTCTCCACAGATGCTGATGAGTTTTTCCAGCAATTTCTGTTTTTGTCAATTTCTGTTTTTGTTTTAGATCTTCAGTATCTACAGTTCTTTGTTTTATTACAGACATGAAGAATTCTTGACGTGGAATTCAGAGCAGGTACTTCTTAACTTCAGTTCATTCTTGTTCCGAAAGACCTCTATGTTTGACACTGGACATCAGCAACTCAGGACACGCTTCATGGGCACTAGCCACGTAGAGTCATAAAGTCATATCGCATGGAATCAGATCTTTTGGTCCAACTCGTCTGCGCTGACCAGATATCCTAAACTGACGTAGTCCCATTTGCCAGCATTTGGCCCATTTCTGTCTAAACTCCTCTTAATCACGTATCCAACCAGATGTCTTTTAAATGTTGTAATTATACCTGCTTCCACCCCCTCCTCTGGCACCTCATGTCCACAGACATTGGATCAAGCCTCTTTGAACCTTGGAACATCTCTGATCCACTTACAGAGTGTTTCTACACTTCAGTACTGCACCTTGAGCTGACCCGGGAACTATCATTGTAATCTAGAGCAAAGACACTGTGTGATCAGGGACATGCACCCGGCTCATAGACTGGACTAGGCTGCATTCAGGGCTCTTTGCTTGTTGTCATAGTGTTCTCTTACCCTGAGACTACCTAGATGCTCACATCATCCCTGCCTTGTGTTGCCTTGCCCTGCCTTTGTGAGCTTTGCCCCCACAGCTAAGTCTATCTGTCTCATATTACTTCTGTATTGCTGTACTGTTTAACACAGAAACAAAGGCAGGAAAGTGCCATGGTTGTCAGCAGGCCTTAGTTATGTCAAGGAAGATAGCCTTCTCTGAAAGGTCCTGGTATTATTAGTCAAGGGCAGCCTCCAATACCAGTCCAGATGCTTGGATGTGTTCAGTCAGCCATTTGGGTTGTGTTAGGGCTGAGGAACAGAATTTTCAGAGCTCAATACCCATCTTGACTCTTTCTGCCCTATTGTGAGCTGTTTTCCACCTGGAATGGGAAGGAGATGTGCATTATGGGAGGTGAAAGTGGATGGCGCAGCTATTATGTTTGATGCAGGTGGGGAGGCTTCCCAGACTAGTGGTAGGCAGTGCAAAGGTTTTCACGTTGAAGGTTGGGTGGGTGACAGTGATTGAGGGAAGACATTGCAAGCAATAATGAGTGATAGAGCTTGAATCTTGGGGGGAGGTGGCTGCAGTAACAGAGATAGAGTGAATGTGAGGTAGTGGAGGATGATGGCTTACACTGGCGGAATGGACAAAGACATTGACCTTCTTCCTACAATGCTGAGTTTCCTCAAAATGCCTGAGAATACTCTAACCTGGATAACAACCTCTGACCAGACAAGTATGGTCTGGTTTGATGGCCTTGTCTGCAAGTCCTGAGCAAAGAGGAAATCTCGTCCTTGTAACTATCCAGCTCGCAGGACCTCTGTGTTCCAAAAGAGGGGCACCGAACTATCCCTGCACGCCATGGCAAATTTTAGTAACCATGTAGGGCAGTTCCAGACTGACAGTGCTTGTCTGAGTAGACAATTTTTTTTAAAGATGGCATGGTTGCCAGATTGCCAGTGAATACTGGCATATCACAACAGTGGCAAGTTGTTCCAGGAATGGCATGAAGTAAAAAGGATTGGAATTGGACACGAGGAAATCTGTAAGGATAGTATATGTGACTAATGAGGTGAGATGGTAAGATATTGTGAGAAAGTGCACAGCAAAAAAGAGTCGTTTCAAAAATTTTATGCAACTTGTACTTGGCCAAAAAAACACAGATTTAGTCCCATATAACTATTGACAATTATCATGTAAACCCATCTTGTTCACGTATGTCTTTTAGGGAAGGAAATCTATCATCCAAACCTGGTTTGGCGTACATGAGGCTCAACCCACAGCAATGTGGTTTACTCTTAACTGTCCTCTGAAATGGCCTAGCAAGCCGCTCGGTTTTAACTAACCACTACTAAGTATGATAAAATGAGTAAAACAGGACAGACCGTCTAGCATTGAGAAAGGCACCGGAAATAACAACAATGCACATAGGTCTGTTGGACCAGCAAACTCATCCTTACTAATGTACTGAAATTGGGAGAACTATCCCATGGACCAGAAAAACAACAGCTGGCATGGTTGTTCTCACAAAACTAGACTTTACTGAAAATATCCCAGATAACACCATTACTATCCCTGGATATGTCCTGTTCCACCATTGGACAGACACAGCAAGGATGGTGATATATAATGTAAAGTTAGGAGTGAGCTGCCTTGAGAGTCCTTAGCATTGGCTCTGTATCTTATGAAGTCTCATGATATCAGATGATACATGGGTCCACTGCAGCATTACCATGAAGCTGGAAGATTTATCCTGGTTCAGGGAAAAATTCAGGAAATCATGCGAGCAGCAGCACCAGATACATCCACAAAAAAAGGTGTCAACTTGGTGAAGCTACAACACAGAACTACTGCATGCCAACAGCAGGAGCAAATGCAATTGACAGGGCAAATAGACACCACAACAAGTTAATCAGTGCTAAGCTCTACAGTCCCACCAGGACTAATTGTGAATGGTGATGGACAATTCAGTGACTAACATGAGGAAGAGACTCCACAAATATCCCTCATCATCAACAACGGGGATGCCCAATACAGGGGTTCCCTGATTTGTGAATATCTGACTTATGAACGCTTGTAATGATGAATGCAATCCCATACAGTGTTGTCATTTTAAAGATCCAACATACAAACATATCCTGTACTTATGAATAGCTACTTTATATTGTTCTGCACTGTGTTCTGACTTACATACAAATCAACTTACAAACGGACATCTGACCATAACCTGTTTGCAACCCAAAGACTTCCTGTACATCAAAAGACAAAACTGATGCATTTGCATCCATCTTCAATCTGAAGTACCAATTGGTTGATTCATCTCGGCCTCCTCCCAAAGTCCTTAACATCACAGATGCTCTTCTTAAGCTAATTACTTCATTCCATGTGATATCAAGAAATGTCCAAAAGCATTGGTTACTGCAAAAGACTATGATCCCTAATGTTCTAGCAAAAAGTACTGAAGACTTGTGCTTCAGATCTGGCTATGCCCCTAGTCAAGCTGTTCCAACATAGGTTCAATACTGGCACCTGACAATGGGGAAAATTGTGTGTATACTGTCTCCAAAAAAACAGGGCAAATCCAACCCAGCAAGTTACTGCTCTGTCCGTTTCCTCTTCATCAGCAAAATGTGAAAGAGTTGATTAGTGCTATCAAATGACATTTGCAAAGGAACAACCTGCTCATTGTTGTTCAGATTGGGTCTAGTTCTTGACCTCATTGCAGCCTTGGTCCAAATATGATGAGCTGAATTCAGAGGTGAGGTGAGATTGGCTGCCCTTGACATCAAAGCAACATTTGAATGAACGTAGCATCAAGGAGCAAAAACAGAAATCGCTGGAAAACACAGGTCTGACAGCTTCAATAGAGAGAAAGCATAGTTAATGTTTTGGGAATCTTAGCAAAACTGTGATCAACAGAAACAGGAGATAAACTCTCCACCAGCTGGAGTTATACCTAGCACAAAGGTAGATACTTGTGGTTGTTAGAGGTCAATCCTTTAAGTGCAAGGACATTATTGCAGGAATTTACCAAAGTAGTGTCCCAGATCTAACCATCTTCAGTTGTTCCAATAATGATCTTCCCTTCATCATGAGGTCATAAATGGGATGTTCACTCTTGACTGCACAATGTTCAGCAGCAACCATGACTGAAGCAATTTTGTTCATATGTAGGAAGATATGGACAACATCTAGGTTGGGGGCCTGATAAGTTGAAATAAGCATTCATGCCACATAGCTACCAAGCAATAACTGTCTCCAACAAGAGAGAATCTTACCATCACCTCTTGACATTCAATAGCATTATCATCATCGAATCTGGCAGTAGAAACATCCTGGGGTTACTATTGACCAGAAACTGAGCAGGATTAGCCGTATAAATACTGTAGCTGGAAGAAGAAGTCAGAGGCTAGGAATTCTCTGCTAAATTGCTCACCTCCTAATTTCCCAGTACCTGTTCATAGAAACATAGAAGATAGGAGCAGGAGGAGGCCATTCAGCCCTTTGAGCCTGCTCCGCCATTCTTCATTACCATGGCTGATTGTCTAACTCAATAGCCTAATCCTGCTTTCTCCCCATAACCTTTGATCCCATTTGCTTCTTGAATGCATTCAATGTTTTGGCATCAACTACTTCCTGTGGTAATGAATTCCACAGGCTCACCATTCTTTGGGTGAAGAAATGTCTCCTCAGCTCCGTCCTAAATCGTCTACCCTGAATCGTCATACCGTGACCCCTGGTTCTGGACACATCCACCATCGGGAACATCCTCCCTGCATCTACCCTGACTTCCATTTACAAGTCAAGAATGTGGTGGAATACTGTCCACTTTCTGAAATTCATGTAGCTCCAACAATTTTCAAGAGACACAACATCATGCAGTATGAAATATTCAACTTGATTTTCCTGACCTCCCATCCACCACATTTAACATTTGGTTCCCTCATCATCGAGGCGCAATGGCAGCTGTAAGTTCAGAAGTGAAAGGGAGGGAGGAACCTAAGAATATCAATAAGCAGGAAACTCGTTCTGAGCAAACTCCAAAAGCTGTAGGCTGTCAAGTCCATGGGTGTTTATAGACTTCATCTTATGATCTTCTAAGAAATTTGTAGCAAGATAGTAGATGTGTAGATTGTAATTTTCCAAAATTTCTCAGATTTTTGGAATGTTCCATTCGATTGGAAAATAGTGAATGTGACTTGTTTATTCAAAAAAGGAAGAGGACAGAAAGCAGGAAACTACAGACCAACTCATAGTTAGCTTAACACATACTTAGAAACGTTCAAGGAAATCAGGCAGATTCAACATAGTTTTGTGAAATCATGTTTAACCAGTTTATTCGAACTGTGGAAGAATTACGCTGTGGATAAAGGGGAACTGGTGGATGCGTGGAACTTAGGTTTCCAGAAAGTGTAATTTCTACATCAAAGCCTATTGTGGAAAATCAAAGCTCATGTCACATGGGATAACTTGGACAGAAGAATGGCTGGGTAGCAAGACTAGAG